TATCCGCCTCTTTTTTACACCTTCGATGTGTTTCATCTACATTTTCAGCAGGCTTTAGACAACCCTTTCTAGCTACTTTCATGTCGACAGATGATGATTTCGTCTCCAAAATAACAGAATTGTTGTCAGAAGACTCAACAACTGAATTGACACCATTCCAAATCCCAGAATCCATCGACAACATCATCAAACACTTAGCTACTTCCTCTTGATCTTGCTCATCAATCTCAGAAACAGGTGATGAAACACTTCTATTGTTAACTAAGCAAAAAGAGGAAGACTTAGCTACAAGTCTATTGTACCTTTTAGTATTTGATCTGCTCTTCAGCTTTGGCTCATCGGCTTCAGTATCCGAGTTGCTATCCATCAACAGATTCTTGTTTTCACTAGTCCACGAGTGATCATCTTTCGACCCTCCCCTGTCTTTGCCAGAGTGACACGCCATATGACCACACAAAGCTTTCAACGATTGAAACACCTTACCACATTGCTGACAAACATTCTCTTGAGACAACAAAGGAGACCTCGAATCCGAAGCCCTCCAAGTTTTCTTGGGATTGTCTCTAAGACCATAACCAGAATGTTCACTTAATTCAAACTGTGATTTATGATCTTTCTTGCTACTATTCTTCCCACCATCAATCCAAGATTGCAACTTTTTCTGTTTAAACTCAACTTTTTCCTTTGCTAGTACATGAGACCTCATATGACCACCAAATGACTTCCCACATGGATACTTCTTGTCACACAACTTACAAAAGTACTTCAAATCTTGATCTTCTTCCATAGAACAACTTTATACAACAACTCGAATATCAAACAAATTCACAAGATTTCAAGTCCAAACCACCCCCATAACAAAGACAAAAAGGAAAAAAAGCTCTAGATACAGATCATCAAGACTCTTCTTGGCTATTGCATTATATTAGCTAATCTCTCAATTAAATAAAAATGATACATGTTTTTGGGAAGTAAATGATCAGACCCACAATAAAAGGAGACTCTTTCAATTCCCATATCAATGTAATCACTCACTCACTCACTAAGACAAACCAGATATTAAATGTACAAAATTTCAAGAATCCTTTATGAAAAATTCAATCTTTAATAACCATAAGACTAGCAATATATTTGGGAAACTTAAAAAAAAAACAAATCACAACAGAAATCTAAAGACTCTTTCCTCCCCAACAAAACCACAAAACCCCCTTCTCTCACTCTTTTAGAAAAATTAAAAAAAAAAAAAAGTGTTTTAAATCTTTAATGACCATAAGACTAGCAAAAAAATTCATTTCTTTCTAAGCATATGGTCAAGATCTGATAGCTAATTTATTATTTGAGGATTGAAGATTAAGAAAATTAAAAGAGTGAATACATTTTTTCTATTTTTGGGTATTGGAAATTAATTCTTATATTCTGAAATCTGTATAAAGACATTCCTCATTTGTCTATGCTCCTATGGTCACACACACTCATAAATGGTTCCAAATCTGAAGGCTTTATAGTTCTTTTTTTCAGGATTAATATAATTATACATTGTCAACCCTTTCAAGTAAACTTATCGGAGTATTTCATTTAGACGTTCAAATTAAGTTGCACTTTAATTAAACATTTTAATTTATAATAAAATATTTATTCAAATTTGAAAAAACATGATTACGCATATAAGTTAAATTAATTATATAAAATATGTTATTTTCTTTAATTATATGCGTCAATCTCAAGTAAAAAATGTCAGGGGGTTTACGACTTATTGAGATAATGGTACGAAATTTAAGAAAATAATTTATTTTATGTAATTAATTTAATTATCTAATAGACAATTGAGAATACATACAAAAAAAATTCCTAGTTTGATTTTTAAAGTGTGTAATTAGAATATTTTATTAAAAGTTGAGATGTTCAATTAAACATTATATAATTTGAGTGTCTAATGAAATATTATGAAAAATTTAAGGGACTGATTAGTGATTATATGTTAAAAGTCTTCTTTTTTTATTTATCTTCCTCCTAATTTGTGTCTTCCTAACTCATTAGAAAATTTATTTCGACTCTTAACTTTACATGCTTTGTATTTGTTTTCTTGGATTATTTTCTCCCAACTCTTAAATTACTTGGTCAACTTTTTTTTTTTTAAAGATAATTTTGTGTGGAAGATAGTGAACAGGAAGTGTCTTTCACCTGCATTAAGTCAATAATAAAGTGTATTACTCTAGATTATTGATACACCTAAGTTAAATAAATAGTATTTCTTCCTTTCATATTAGATATCAATATTTTTTATATATATATAGAGGAAATTTCACAAGTTATTAAAATTATCAAAATTTCTTTCATTCTTATATAATCTTAACAAATGAGTAAATCATAATTTATAAATTTAGATATTAGAATATTCTAAGGTACCGTATTATTAAATCATATATTTTCATACTCTTTTTATAAATAAATGTTTGCGATTAAAAACTTTCAAGCATATATAATGTTACAAAAAATTCCTAGTCAACACTCAAAGTAGTAACTAATGGTTCTTTTTAATAAAATTATTTTATATTTTATATGATACGAACAATCTTTTCACGTCAAACATGATTTTTTTTTTTTTTTGTAAAATTTGAAATAATGGAACTCTTTTTCTAAAATATAAACTTATTACTCAAGTTTTACATTTCTAAAAATTGATCACAAATCTTCTTTAAATTTTTTTTGGAGATTTTGAAATTTGAAATAATTATGTTCCAAGAAAAGTGAGACGTTGAACATCTTTACCACCAACTAATAGGTTGAAGGTTCGAATCATACCGAAGATTAAGCGAGAATAATATTATCCTCCTTCCTCCTAGGGTGAAGTTATAAAAGAGGGAAGGAAATGGGAGGAATTATTTAGTTCGCATCTTTAAACCTTATTTATAATTACATTTTATTAAAATGATCAAGTTGTTTTGAAATCAATTTTTCATTATATGTTATATTATATATTTTGTTTAGACTCTACCTATAAATGTCAAAAGATATTTATAAAGTTGTTTTAAGACATCTACTAAATATGATTGACAAAGAAGAATCATATAATATTAACAACTTCAGCAAAATATAATAAATTCAAGAATAAGTAATAAATTATCAAGTGATATTGGACAAATGTGAAGGAAAAAACAAGAAAATATTTCAAATTACTTTAGATGGTCAAGCTATCTTTTTTAATTCATACATACATAAAATGAAATTTGAGGTCGATAATCCAACCCACTATTTTTTTTTGGGCAAATTTACCTGTAGATAGAGTATCTAGCGGTCTTTTATAGATATTAAAAAAATTTCAACAGGATAAAGTACAAGTAAGAGGAGCTAGACCTTACCTTACCAATCCTAATTAAAAAAACTTTTACTAACTAACAAGCTTGGAGAAAATAAAAGCTATAGAGACTAGATATTTTGTGATCACTATAGAGTTTGTAATACACTCTATGATGATATTACAACTGAGCATGCATATTTATCTTGCATATGATTTTTATCTAATTCACGTTCGTTAACATAATCTAATTGTTATCGAGAAATCAGTTATTTATACTTATTATCTCATTAGGAGTAATAAGACATGACTTTCATCAATCTACTTTTACGCATTAATTTTGAGACTTGTTTATTTTTTAATTATTAATAAAGACAAACTAAATATATCAAAATATAACATACTAAATAATGACAACATCAATGACGAATCTTACATAGCTCTTTGGAACTCTTCGATCTATGCGTATATATAACATAATTACATCAACCAACTCACACTTCTCCTCGCATTGTTGCTCAACTGATAACATTAACAATTCTAATCATTAGTTTTGTTCTATTATTATTTCAAAATTTTAAATTTTTTTGTTTGTTCGGTACTTACATTGAGCTTCAATTAATCTAATTTGCCCACATAAAGTGAAACAACTAGAATAAGTTGAGACCCCTCATTAAAAGCAGAGGGATTACTTTTATCGGTGGAGATTTTAGAGTAAATGAGTTAAAAACATGTCGTATATTATACTAGTTTTGAAAAACACACATTTCAAGTTTATCACCTGTAATTACTATAAGATTTCTATATAATTAAAAAAAGGAGTTCATAACAAAATACAGAGAAGAAAATATGCGTGTATTTCACGCTATTTTATATAAATATTTGTAAGTGATTTAAATACAATTACAATATGTATAAATAATTATTTATAAAATTAAGTAATCAAAAGAAAAAAAGTGTAACATTAAATTAAAGCTTAACAACCTGATAATTATATCAAATAGTTTTGGAAAATTGTATCATTTTGATACGTAAATTTCACATGATTTAATAGTTTTGGAGATGTCATGTAATGTTTTAGGAGAATATATAAATATTTATCAATATTTACATTATTATAAAACTATCACAATAAATTATACAACTTCAGATGTACATTATGTCCAATCCCACTTATATTCAAAAACAAAATGAAATAAGTAAAATAAAAATAACAAAATGGCTACTTGAATTTTGAAACTTTAAAACAACAAAAATTCAAGAGAGAAAACAATTCTAGATTAAGAGAATAGAGGAACTTCCTCAATAAATAACAAAAACATAAATATATATATATATATATATATATATATATTTTGGTTGCATATTCGATGAACAATAACATCCATCGACAATCAACAATTATACATTAGAATAACTAAATATATGCATTAATATAAAGTGATTGTGATGAGCAATATAATTATATCCCCAAATAATCATTTATCAACAATTATACATTGAAAAAACAAAGTTTATGCATTAATACAAAGTGATTTTGAAAATAACTTTTTGGTATATATAATTATAAGTGAATTATAAAAAGTCATTTAAAAATTAATGATATACATAATATATGATAATCGAGTTGGTTAAAGTTGGGATATGTGAAGTTTTTGATTAAAATCTAAATATCTACGACTTATTAAGTTGTCTATTTTAGAATTCCATGATAATTCTTTCGAGAAATATAATCCAACTTTTAAGTAAAATTTTTTTACTTTTAATAATATATATTAATTAATATAAAATAATATGATAATCGTATATGTATATTTGTTTTGCAGTGTTTTACGTGATTTGAACCGTGAGAAGCAATGCGTTTAGTTGAATCTGCTGCAAAGGTCTAGATTCGTCTCTCGCTTTGTGAGTTATCAATTTTTTATAATGTGATTTTGTTTTTGTGTGCTGCTTGATTTGGATCTGATCTGTGTTTTGAGATTTTGTTAACTCCCGCACTGGAAATTTTGGATCAATTATGAGTAGGATGTTTGTTTCAGCTGCTTATTTTGTATTGATCTTAAGTGGATTCTGTGTTTTTGATATGTATTTGAGACTATTTTCTGCTGGAATGGCTGAAAATTGGAATATAAATTGTGATTCGTTTCTGATTTTTGGGAATTGGGGTGGAAGGGTCTATTTTCATCCATCTGAGTTGGAAATTTTGTGTTTTAATCTGTTTTTGAGGTTTTTCTGCTTGAATTGTTAAAATTGGAATATTAATTGCGCTTAGGATTCTAGTTTCTGTTTGTTTCTTCGTTTTGTTTTTTTTTTTGCTAATTTTCCTGTTTTTATTGATTTTAGATTTGGTGTTTTTTTGCAGGTTGATGTGTCCGTGTAGTTGCTGGATTTGGATTACTTTGTATTTCAGGATATAGCTAGAGTTGTTTTGGAATTGGTATTTTTCAGTGCAGTTGTGTTTTAGAGGACTTTCCTAATATATTTTGAGGGGTAATTGATGCATCATTACCATAGGGGAGGAGTTATGGTTGACCTATACTTTTTGTTTTAGTTTCCGATTGGAAACTAACACGATCGAGATTGTGATTTTGATTATCTGATTGGTGGTTTGGTATGATTTTGGAGTTCCATTATCCTAAGGACGTTAGGTTGAGTTCTAACCAATGCTAGTTGAAATTGTTTGAATTTTGTGTGATATTTGTGGGTGATGAAATCGGATGACAGCTTATAATTTTCATAGCTCTTGGAGGTTGAGGTTGAAGGAAATAGCTAGCACATTGTGATCTTCTTAACTTGAACTTTATTGAGGTTACATAAATTGGAGATGAAAAGCCCTTTGCTTAAAAATTTATCAAAAAATTTCAGGTCGAGATCACCATTCAACTGGTTACTCTTGTTTCTTGTCAGTGTCTTGGTGGTAATAGCATTGCTAGGATCATCCTCAAGTACCTTTAATTCAGTCACTTCCTCTGTGAAGAATGATATATACACGAATTACAGAAAGCTAAAGGAGCAAGCAAGAAGCGATTATTTAGAGCTAAAAAGCCTTGCTGTGGGAGAAAATCAGATAAAGGATGTTGGTGTTTGTGGTAAGGAAAGAGAAAATTATGTGCCTTGCTACAATGTGTCTGCAAATATTCTAGCTGGGCTTAAAGATGGCGAGGAGTTAGATCGGCATTGTGAGTTATCACAAGAACGTCAATATTGTCTGATTCGTCCACCTAAGGACTATAAGATCCCTTTGTCTTGGCCAGCAGGAAGGGATGTTATATGGAGTGGAAATGTGAAGCTTACCAAAGATCAGTTCCTTTCTTCTGGAAGCATTATGAAAAGGTAAAGTAAATTAAATGATACTGTCAATGATCTTAACATGTCAAATTTTTGTGCGTAACATGCTTGAAGGACGAAGGCCTGCATTTTGAGTTTCCGAGCTCTTTTGAGGTTATACATTTGTAGGAATAATCTTGAAGTCTTTATGTAAGGTGAAAGCTTTCCCTCTACCTTATTGTAACTCTTTGTTTCTCCAGGCTAATGTTACTAGAAGAAAATCAAATTGCTTTCCATTCACAAGATGGGATGATGGTTGATGATGTCAAAGATTACTCTCACCAAATTGCAGAGATGATTGGGCTGGGAAGTGACACAGAATTCCTTCAAGCTGGTGTAAGTAATCTTTTGTTCATCTTCCCATAAGCTACTTTTTTGGGTCACTGCTGGTTTCTGGTGAATCCTGCTTCTAGAATGCTACACGTTTCATATTGTTGGAACTATGATGCAGAACCATAATTCTACTTGTAGAATATAAGATTTTTATTTACTGAATAACAGGTGCGTACTGTACTAGATATTGGTTGTGGCTTTGGTAGCTTCAGTGCCCACCTACTCTCGCTGAACTTGATGGCTCTTTGTGTAGCAGCTTATGGGTCATCTGGTAGCCATGTTCAGGTAGCACTTGAGAGAGGCCTTCCTGCAGTCATCGGAAACTTTATTTCAAAACAGCTACCATTTCCATCATTGTCCTATGACATGGTTCATTGTGCTCAATGTGGAGTTATTTGGGACAGCAAAGGTATTGCCATTGCTTTTCAGAAACTGTATTTCCCATACTTATTTCTCATTATCGTTTTATGTGACCTGACTGATTTCCCACCAGTGTTTATCAAGATTTTGTTTCATTAAGAATTCTAAATTTGCCTAATTTTGATATATAATTCATTTTCCTAGTCTATTTCATGCTGTGAGAGTAGATGTACTTCACAACTACTAATCCCAAACTGTCTACTTTACAATGGAACTCCTTTACAGTATAAAATATCTTCTCCAAAATAAAATAAATCTTATTGATTTGACCTATCTCACTTGAACTTTTTAGTGATCGTGCTGATAAATTATTGGTTCTGGTTTTAAATCCAGCCCCCAGCCCTGTCTCACCTAAAAAGATATATTGCTGAGCTGAAGCAAAATTAATCTTCACAGTTGGAAACCCTCATTTTTTTATGATTGTAACATGTTCTAGTTTTTGTGGTTTACTTTTTTTCTTTATTGGATCACTCAACAATCATCTGTATGGTAGCTGACCTTCTGAGGATTTATAACCGAACAAGTGGCATGAAACTAATAATGATTTGACAAAACAGATGGACTGTTTCTTATTGAAATTGACCGTGTACTCAAGCCTGGAGGTTATTTTGTTTTGACCTCATCCACAACCCAGCAGCAGGGTAGTTCAACCGGTGCAAAGAAGGGAATCATGCCTACTCCTTTGGAAGAGTTCACTAAGAATCTCTGTTGGTCTCTTTTGGAACAGCAAGACGAAACTTTCATCTGGCAGAAAACGGTTGATTCCCAGTGCTACACATCTGGGTACGACTACCAAAGAAGCCAATGCCATGTATTCCCTCTATATTTTGTTACCCGTTTCCTTTAACCTACTTTTGATTTCACTTTATTCAGTTAAAAAGCTAAAAGTTGAAGCATAGTCATTTAAACAGAAGTTACAATCAATTAGAGAATACTAGGTGTACTTGGATTTTGTATGTGTGCATGGTCATGTTTGAACTAATTCACATTTTGTTTACACAGTCATACCTCTCAATAGTGACAATGTTTGTTTGAAAGTTTCATGACTTCTACAGTGGTGTGTAGTTATGTATGTATACTGGAATTTGGCGTTTAGATCTTATTTAGTTGTTATAATCAAAAGTATGCAAAATTAGAAAGAGTATGAATGTAAATAAGGCAAACATCAGTAGTCTTTCCTCATGAAGTTATGTCCATAACTTATGGGCACCGTTTAAATACAATTTGATTTCTTTAGATTGATATTCGTGCTTGAAATTTACTATGTGCATAACATAAACGATGATTATCATAAATATTTTAATATTTTATTTTATATGTAATATATTTCTTACAAAATATTATTACACAATATTTGATAACAGCTATTATAGAGGGGTAATTTACAAAGAGTGTATTGCTATAATGAATGTCATTGTTGTTATAAGTAGAATGTTGTTATGGAGAATGTAAAATATAACATGAGAAATCAGTTCTGGAGAAAATCAGACCGTTATAGGGAAATGTTGTTACAACGAATGATTGTTATAGAGAGATTTGATTGTACTTGTTTTCACTTTTAAAAACCCTACTACTACCCCTCTCATATCCTTCTAAAAGTTACAGAAAAGTGCTTTCTTTATCCTCAGACTTTGATGCAGATGTCTTCCATTTCTGTTTTCTTTTTCAAGTTACAGTTATCATTTTTATGTTCTTTTTGCCCACTGACCTTCTCTAATTATTCACTGGGTATGCTGTTGTTTACCTTCTCTAATTGGCTTTTGCCTTTTAATGTAGCAAGCAGGATACTATACCAATTTGTAAAGGACAGGATATGCAACTGTACTACCAGCCACTTGCACATTGTATATCTGGAACAGGCAGTGATCGATGGGTTCCAATTCATAGCAGATCTGATTCTATGAACTCCACTGAGCTCAAAGTTCATGGCAAGTTAAATAAAATTGGTTTCTTCTACTTTACCATCATTCTCTAATTTCATGCCATTGGCTCTTTATTGTTAACATGCAATCATTGCCTGTGTTTTGTTTTATGGCAGGAGTTTATCCTGACAATTTCTTTGAGGATTCAGAATTCTGGAAATCAGCTGTCCGAAACTATTGGTCTTTGCTGTCACCCTTGATTTTCTCTGACCATCCAAAGAGGCCAGGTGATGACGATCCATTGCCTCCGTATAATATGGTGCGGAATGTCTTGGACATGAATGCTCATTATGGGGGTTTAAATGCCGCATTGTTGGAGGCAGGAAAGTCAGTCTGGGTGATGAATGTTGTGCCTCTTGGGGTGCATAATACACTTCCTCTGATACTTGATCGAGGCTTTGCTGGCGTTTTGCATAACTGGTAAGCCATTATACTGTAGAGTGTAGACATTGAGATTTATGTGCTTTTGGATCCATCTTAAGTTTGTGGATTCTGCGATTATATTGCAGATTATTTTAGTGAAGAAAATCACAGAACTTTGTGAATTAAGTAGCAATATGTGTTTCTCGTAATGTATGTGATCATAAATCACTTAAATGATTTCTACAATTAGATGGAACGTAAAATCAAAGAATACTATAATGGCTGACCCCGAAACATATTAGACGGATGGTAATATTATCAAATGATGCTGATGTTGAATTTACAATAACCATCTCCAAATTTAATGTGTGGTTTTGAGGACTTCGTAAACATAGTATAGTTTGTATTGTGATTGTACCTTTTTTTTGATCCTTATGAATCTTTTCTGCCATGAAGTAATGCATTTGGCCGGTGAGGATAAGTTGAAGATAAAAGTTAAAGCCCGGAGCCATAATCAACATAACAAGCTTGACCTTATCCTCACTGGATGTTTATCATTGTTTTCTTACTTATGCTTTTCCCTTGATATTGGATTCAATCATGAGTTTGAAGAATTATGTTTAAGACTGATATCCAATGTTCTTAATATTGGGCTAGGTGTGAACCCTTTCCTACATATCCACGAACATACGATTTGCTCCATGGTAGTGGACTTCTTTCGCACCTTGAATCACAAGGATGCAGTATAGTTGAAGTGCTTTTTGAGATGGACCGCATCTTACGGCCAGAGGTAATATCGTATTTGAAGTCTCCACTTTTAGATCATTTTTCATTTCTCTTTCTTTAAACATAAGCCTGCTTTTGTTAGATATGCTTAGGGGTGGAAAATGGGCAGATTGAGTCAGATATGAGTGGGTCAAAAATGAGTCAGGTGAAAATGGATAAAGCATCCAACCTGCACATCGTTGATGTGAAAAAATAATGGGTAAACCAACAGATTATATGGATAATATACTTCTTATTATGTAAAGAAATAAGTACACCCAAATTACAAACATTTTTTTCTTCTTTTTCTACTTTTAGGGTATGTTTGATAGGAAGGAAAATATTTTCGTGTACTCCTAGAAAATATTTTTCTAGAAAATAAATGGTCTTGAGTCAAAGTCATGTTGGGTTTAGATCGTGAGTCGGGTCGAAAGTCAAGTCCTGAGTCAGGATTTGGAGTCAGGTCTTGTTTTTGGTCAAGCGACGGGAGTCAAGTCCCAAGTTGGGATCGGTAGTTGGATACTGGGTTGGGTTGGGGTCCTGGGTCGGTGTCGGCCATATGATCTATGTTTTCATCTTTTGACGTTTGGGATTCAGGCGTAGGTCATTGATTGCTTGATACTCATTATCTTTCCTGTTCTATTTAAGGTTTGGGATTCAAGCGTAGTTTATTGATTGCTTGATATTCTCTCTTATCTTTCCTGTTTTTATTTGATGACTGAAAACACCTTCAAAACGTGTCACTCATCTTTGCTTGATTCCTTGAATGTTTTAACATTTGAATTTGACAGGGATGGATTATTCTCTCTGATAAATTGGGCCCTATAGAGAAAGTGCGGATGGTAGCAACTCAAATGCGCTGGGAAGCCAGAGTGGTTGACCTCCAGAATGGAAGTGACCAACGGCTACTCGTATGCCAAAAATCATTCGTGAGAAAGTGATCATCTTGTAGTGGAATTCACAATTCAATGATTAGCCACTCCTTGTCCCCATGTATGTGTGTGCGCTCGCGCACTTATTCCTTCTTCCCCCTCTTCTAATTCTGCATTTTGTTTTCCCTGCAAATGTCTTTTTAGTATGTAGTGGTGAGACTTATTTTTTTTCTTGCCAGGCCACAAGCTGCACGGCCACGTCTCAATCTTGACATCCTTTTAGATGGATAATATGGTGGCCTCAAAGGCGGAATTATAATTTTTTGGAATCTGTAGTTTGCTGGAATAGAGACAGCAGAGAGAGAAGAATTTCCCCTTGGAAAAGATTCATGTAGCAATTCATTCAGTACTATTTTTCTTTCCTTTTTTCAGTTAATTAACATATTTTTTTCAATTTGTAACTCAATATTGTGTAGCGAAGAATCACCTTCTGTCAAAGCAAGAGATTTTTGTCACAAAATGTAAGAATCAATCATAATGAATGGCTTCCCAAGATGCACCTTTTTTTTTTAGCTCTACAGACTCTTATGGATGTTCCTGGATTTGTGACTAACAGTTCAGTGGACATCTTCATTGCCATATTTCTACGTCTTGAGGGAAGTGCTTGACAATTCAGAATCTCTTCATCATCTTTCACCATTCACTAAAGTAAAAGTTCTTGGATTGCCGGTATGAACCTCTTTCCCCGAACTGTTCCTCAAGCCACTTGAGAACAACGTACAGCGCTTACCTCCCCTCTCCTTTTTCTATTCAGTTATGTATATTCTGCAGATTAGGTTCCAAGTGCAACTACCAGAAGAAAGGGAGCGAGGTATATGACACTAGCTGGGGTTTACATGGGCCAAGTCGAAGCTCCCTGCCAGTGAATTGCAATTACAGGCAAGCATCATTTGACTGTTGTTTGTTTGGAAATATAACTTGGTGTCATAGCAGTTATGACTCTGTTGTTCTAATTCTCCTCCTATCCCTAGTTGCCATTCTCTCCCCATACCTTGCAAATATATCAGCTAAATCGAATTGCCCAACTTCTCTAAGTTTGTTGCTCATCACCTCAAACATAACAACCCCTTCCTCATTGGAATAATAATGCAAAAACTTGTTATAATCAAACCTAGGCACCTCAACTTTCCTGTACAGTAATCTCTCTGCATATTTGTTTGCCTCCAACGTTTTCCCTGCCTTTACCAAACCTCCTACGAAGATGGTATCAAAATTCACAAGAGGATCTGATCCTTTCCTCCCTCTCCTCCCTAAATGCCCTTGTAACAACATGACATACGTATGCATTATCGGCTCACATCCCCTTTTAATCATCTCCCTAAATACCTCAGTTGCTTCACTTGCTCTTTTCAATTTCAACAACCCCTTGATCATCCCGTGATAAACACTTATATCGGGCTTCTCTATTCCTTCCACAACCCTATACGCTTCCATAACTCGTCCTCTACTCATAAGCCCATACGTAATCGATCCTAATGTAAGATTATCCGCCTTAATCCCTCTCTTTTCCATTTCTTCAAACACCAAGTAACTCTCTCCAAGCTTCCCTTTCTTGCACAACCAACTGATCACCAACCTATAAGTCGAAACCCCTAATTCACTCATCCTATTTACTCTAACAGATTGAAAAACCTTCAATGCTTCAACATATCGATTATTCTTGAAAAGGATCTCAATCATAGTCTCAATCGACGCAATTTCAGGTTCAAAACCTTCATCCACCATTAAATTCCAAATCTTTGAAGCTTCAATCACATCACCAACATCACAAAACCCGTAAATCAACCATCTATAAGTAACCTCATTTGGTTTTACCCAATTTTTCAACTTCAATACAACATGCTCAGCCTCCTCAACAAGCTTAGATCTACAAAGAGCTTCAACTACCTTATTCAATACATCAAGACTATACCCATATCCATATCCATTCATCAAATGAAATACTCCAACACATTTCTTCAACTCCCTAGCTGAAGCCAGAGTTTTCACCCCAACTACATAAGTCTTAGGGGTGACCAACTGACACCTTCCAATTTCTTGAATCACTTCCCAGAAAAGGTCAATGTTTCTTGATTTTCCAATCACATCTAGCATTTTGTTGAAGGTGACGGGGGTGTGGTTGAAATGGGGTTGGGTCTTGGTAAATTGATAAAATCTGTAAACGGGTCTCCAAGAATACTGGAATTTGTTACAGATTTGAAGGAAAAACTCATGGGTGAGGTCAAATGGTGTTTTGGAGAGGTTGTTGTGAAGTTTCTGGTCAGATGAGTACTGTTGCTGGTAGAGAATCGTAGAAACTCTTAGTAGGTGAGATTCATTTACTGGTTTGATGGGGTTTGGAGAATGGAGTTGAGGAGCAGAATGGATTGGGTTGGGGGGTGGTGATGCAGCAGAGGGGGTGGGTGGGGTGTGAAGAAGACGATGGGGTGATAGGAGGAAGGTAAAAGACTTTAAAGTTGTAGGTTTTAACATTTGTGTGGGAAAATTGTGTAAAGTTCTCCTCGTAGAAAAATAAGTTTTTATGTATGAAAAAATAGAAAATAATAAGGATGGAGAGAGATAGACATATGTTAATATTGGGATAAAGTTTTATCATAAATAATTGTTTATTCACATGCTCGTTAGAAAGGGAAGACTAAAACATCAATTTCACTAATTTAGACATAAATTACTTCTTTTTTTTTTAACTTGAGCTTTCAATATTTATAATTTTTTATTAAGAGTTTAGATGTATCTTGATCAATAGTGAAGTTAAAGATTTTAAAAAAGTGAATTTAAAATTTAAAAAAATACACATACGAATTAGTTAGGGAGAGTTTGACATCTAATATATGCCTAAAAAAATATTTTAATCATGTATAAATAATATAATTTTTCAGCTAAAGAGATTTGTATGAACCTAATTATGAGATGGCTCTGCCGTTGATCTCGATCATATATGAACCTCGAATATATGAAATTAATTTATTTTAAATACATTATATTCAAATAAATTTAGTTGTATTTAAGTTGTTCACTGATTTCTTTCCTATCTCACTTGTCTCTCTCACCTCTCTTTTCATATACCTATATTTTTTTAAAAAATCTCACTCAATTTCATAATGTATTTAGTTCTTCCTCTGTCCAAAAAAGTTGACTTATCAAAAGTTAATTTGATTAATTTTTAAAGATAAATTAAATTATATTAGTTTGATACTTTGAATAAAAAAATTAGATATTCTAAAATTATATGAAAAGTATTATAAATTATAACTTTTTGCATATTAATATGATAAAAAATATATCTTAAAATGTTAGTCAAAATTTTTATAATTTAACTCTAAAAATAGAAAATTATGATAAATAATATCAAACGGAGAGATTATGATTTATATATATATAATATACTTTCGCCTCTCCCTATATAATTAACCACAACACTAAAATTATGAAAAATATTTGAATTCTACCACCAAGTGTACTATATTTAACATGTGAATTTGTTCATTCCGTCCGACCATAGCTTTTGTCGTGAGATGATTGTTAAATCCTGATGCTGACATACTCTGCCCCCATTCAATGCACAAAGAGACACTAAAATCTATTATACATTACAAAACTGGGGTGACAGCACAACAGAAAAAAAATTGAAATGGAAATACTATTTATTTTATCAAATTATTTAAAATTAATTAATTCTTAATAAAAAAAGATTATCAATATAAATTCCGATACAATAATAAAAATATAGTTAATAACTTGGGATAGAAGTGCTTTTGTATTTGTCCCATTAACAATTACTTGTGATATTTTATTTATTTTAATTTCTTTTTATATATGCGATGTTTACATTAAAATTAATTATTTCATATTTTTATGTAAGACAATCCTCTAGAGACTAGAGAACATGGTTGAATGGTTGGTTAACATCTAGCTCTCCACCTCACACTGTCATCTAAATCTCCACCGTCATTCTTGTTTGCGTTGTCTACACAATATTCATCTTTCTACTTTTTTTTCTTTCTTTTTTCCTCTGTTTTCTTCTTGACAATTTTCTTCCACAATTTTACCACTACCATGACCACTTTTCTACTATTTTCACTATTCTTCTTAGCCATCACTAATCACTCAAGTAAGTAATTCATTATTGCCAATGTCGAAGTCAGAATTTGAAGTTTATGAATTTCGAATTTGCTTGTGTTGATTTTTTTCTTCTTTTTTTTTTGTGCAACTATAGGTGGTTTGTACTGTATTTGTAAAGATGGAGTAAGTGATCAACAACTCCAAAAGAATATAGATTATGCTTGTGGAGCTGGAGCTGATTGTACACCAATCACTCAAAATGGTCCTTGCTATAACCCTAACACTATCAAAGATCACTGCAATTATGCTGTAAATAGTTATTATCAAAGAAAAGGTGCAGCTGGTGCTACCTGTGATTTTACTGGAACTGCAACTACAAGCCCCAATCCACCTACTAGTAAGTTCTCAAGAAAAATATTTTTCTTTTTATGTGATTATCAATTTATAGATTTATTAATTTTATTTTCTTAATCAACAGCTACAAATTCTGGGTGTGTCTATCAATCCAGTCCAAGGTATGTTCAACTTAGATCTTGAGTTTTGCCTTTCCTTATTTTTGAAGGCGTAATACATAAATGTGTTTTATAAGTTAGTCTTATTTCACATTTATATCCTTCGAGCTTAGATCTGTGCAAACAGATACTTACACTTATATAAAGTTGAACAATTATATGCATAAGTTTTATGCGGCGTAATGTATGTAGGATCCTACGTGGAATGCATTTGTTTATTTGTTCAACTTGATACAAGTTTAAAGATACTTGAGTTTACCTAAAGTTGGAGGACATAAATGTGAGGTCAGATCAAGTTAAAAGGGTATAAGCATGAGCACCGAAGTAATATAAATGTATGTTAAATCCTTTTCGTTTTGGAAAAAGTTAACAAAGAAATAAAAGCGAGGCCTTTAGATTATCTTGAACAACTGGCTAATGGTTACCTTTGAAATGTAAGTAAAATTATGTTCAAGTAACCAAAAACGGAGCCAGAATTTTTGAACTTTATGAGAGGTGAATTCTAAGATACCACATTAGGCATTAGTAATTGAGATTCTCAGTTTAGTTTTTTTTTTCTTTTTTTTTTGTATATTTAGTGAAATTTTTAGTACATTGATTCAGCCAAACTCATACGCGTGCATCTAGCTCCGCCACTACAAGGAAGAAGTTAACGCTTTAACAGTTTAGCTAGCTGGAATTATTAGTAATTAGTGACAAGAAACGAAATCGATGAATGATTGAGATGGCCAGCTAATTAGCCAGTTACTTTTTCCAAATTGGTTACTTTTATTCAAAGTAAGATTGGTGTTGCCAATTTGTCCTTCCCTTGACAAAATTTTCAAACAGAGATTATGATTTCATCCTTGTCTTGGCGTGGTTGTTACAATTATTTTTTCTTAGAAATGACAGTGTTGGATGGCTTTTAATTCATCATTACGCGCCCTAATTAGCAGCCTTAATGATGACATTAAGGCATGTTAGTGGCAGTCAAGTTCCTACTTTCTTTGCAATCAGCAACCAGCAAATCTTAGTGCTGATTTTTGTTTTTATCTTATTATACTTATATATAGTTTGTTTGGCGGGAGGGCAGGCGAGAGAGCAGCTCGTGATGTGTGGATTAGTTCATGTTACGGTTTTAAACCTTTGATGCAAGTAAAAGTTGGTACTTAAGTGCAGAAGGGTAATGAACCGGGGGGTTCATTATCTATGTCAAGTTTCGAGTCCTGCACCACTAACCCT